GACATTAGTTAGAGAACCACTGAAAACTCTGACTACTGGACAGCTGAGACTTCTCATCGACACGCACTCCCGGCCCGGAGACCAAAAACAAGACCTTCAGGTTAGAGAGCAAACTCATAGACCGTTGAACAACTAGGATGGAATCCAGTGATTGATCTGTGAATTCCAGTTGCTGTCAATTCGTGGTTTGTAGCGACATCGCCAGGAAATAGCATCAACGGGCATTTGTCCTCACACTCGACCTGATGGTTACTCTAGTGCTTATGACTTCTCATTAGAGTCCTGGGTAACTTCTTCCTTAACTAAAACGAAGTAGATGTTCAGTGCTAAATAGATTTCACCTGTTCTCTAAATAATATCAATCTGTGATAAAATATTATTTCAATATTGCACGACAAACTGCACAGATTTATAAACATTGTTCGTCAGTACTGTTGGGTTGCTTATTACTAAAACATGAAAAAGAAATTTCTATGATCATTTTATCTAAGCTGATTCATTTCAGAAGTCTTCAAAATACACCGACGGGTCGATGGTATTTAAAGTTGAAAAAAAGGGAAGGATGGGTGTGGTGTTAGCAACTCACTACAGTGAAATCCAATGTCCCATTGCTTTAAACTTCCATCGATTCGTGAGTTTTAGCGCCGCAGCTTGCAAATATTGTCAGTAAGTATTTATCTCCATACACGTTTGGAGGACTCCACTTATATGAGAGCTTCTCAGTAGAACCTCAGGCGTATTCATCTTGTAGCCAGTCTGTAGTGAGCACTAGAGGGGTTATGGGTGCGTATTGATAAAGAAGCTCGAACAAGGATGAAACAGCTGTCCACTACCTCCAGCTGTTTTTCAATGATTCTCTAATTTAAATCACCTCGTGATCACTCCTAAAATCAGTCAAACTCCTGAGAACCAAAACTTAAAGACATATTTTGTTGTCAAATGTTCAGAGCTGTTGTTGTTGTTATTTTTTTTTTAAATCCACTGTTTATGACTACAGAGAGACGAAAACCGTAAACAAACTATTGAAAAAAACCAAAACAATGGAATGCTGGTTAGTTTTCTGGTCTGATATTCAGTCTGTAATATTCTTTTTGCCAGTAAAACTGGTTTTGAAACTAAAAAAGTATTGCAAAAACAATTCTGTATTCACTTGTAAAAATTTATTCGTAAAAGCCCTTGCAGATATTGATTGGAATTTAGTAGTTTTGATACGTCTCAGACTTTTGAAAGGACAGTGTATGCTATGCTGTCAACACATATTATGACATCTTTTGACCGATAGAACATGTTAATGGCACGAATCAGTGGTTGTGTGCGTAACATCAGCAGTTATGATATATTGATGAGACGTTATATATATATCCTTTAATTCCTAGAGGTCTCCTTTGCCTGAAGCTTGTTCTGCTTCACTTGCCATGGCTTCATAATATTTTCTTTTGTCTTCCCTGGTGCTCTTCTTTACTCTTTTCTTCAGCGTATTGTAGCTTGCATTCAACTCCTGTTTTTGTTGCTCGTCGATGCACTGGATAATCTTTTGTTTCACTATCCTTCTCTCTTCTATTAGTCTCCAAGTGTCCACAGTGAGCCACTGTTTGCCCTGTCTCTTCTCTGTGCCTAGAACTTCCATGCATGTTTGACTCTACACCGTTTTCAAGTTGTACCAGTGCTTTTCGACACCGACCTCTTCGCTAGTGTTGATTTGTGCCTCAGCTTTGTCCCTTATGCTTTCAATGAAGATGTCTTTTGTAGCCTGGTCCTTCAGTTTTGAGTGTTGAATTGGCTTGTGGTCTATCAGCAGCTCCTGTTTCTCTGAGAGTTTTTAATTTGATTTGAATTGTCCCTTGTACGAGATAGTGGTCCGAGCCAACGTCTGCTCCCCTTCTTACTTTTGTGTCCAGTAGGCTGCGCCTCCACTTCCTTTAGCAGCATTGAGATGAAGTCACTTTAGTTTTTGGTTTGCCCATCTGGTGACACCCGTGTAGCCTTGTGGATATCTTTGTGTTTGTATACACTGCCACCAATCACTAGTTCGTTGAAGGCGCAGAAGTCGGCGAAGAGTTCTCAGTTTTCATTCATTTCTCCTAGAGCTTCTCTACCCATGATGAGTTCCCTTCCTGTGTTGTCTGGTCTCAGTTTGGCGTTCATGTCTTCCATAAGTATTTTAGTGTCACCAACTGGAGTATTGTCGATTGTTGCCTGTAATTGTCTGTAGAACTCTTCTTTCTTTTCGAGGTCTGCGTTATTTTTGGGTGCATAGCATTGTATAATTGACACTTTCCTTCCTTTGGAGTTGAATCTGGCTGTCATCATCCTGGACGAGATCGCCTCCCATTGCACTAAGGCCTTCGTCGCTGTTGGTGACATCATGATAGCCACGCCCTTGGTGTGCGTGTGGTTATCTTCTGGATGACCGGAGTAGATCACTGACTCACCCGTTGACAATTTGGTGAGTCCATTACCGTTCCATCTTCTTTCACATATTCGCAGCACTTGGATTCCGTATTTTTTCATCTCGTTGGCGATCTGGGCAGCTTTTCCAATCTCGTACATGGTGCGGACGTTCCATGGCCCCACACAGACTTTTCATTTTGGTGCAAAGTGATTCATCGTTCTGAAGTTTCTGTAGCAACTTTGTTTATATATATATATATATATATATATATATATATATATACAACTATAAGAGAGCTATTTATTTATGCTATAAATATTATTAAATATAGTAGAGATATGTATACAACGAGTTCTATATTGATGGGTAACCAATAAAGTAATGTAATATCCCGAAAGACAGTGATCACTATGGAGATATTTTCCACTTTCATGGATATAACGTGCAGAAATAGTTTTTATGGACAAAGCTCAGCTTCAGACACACTAAAGACGCAAACGGACTCATAACCTCAGAAACAACCAATGCGCTGAAAGGTAAACTTGGCTCCTTAACTTTGTTCTCACCCTAATCCATCATTAGCCAACACCTATAACTCCCTAAGTGGGTTGACATAACCGTAATTGACCCCAGACTAAACGCTGAACCTAATCTTTACCTAGCCTAACCTAAAACTAACTAACCATGTATCCTGTTTAATATGATTACACTTCAATCAACACTTTTTTCAGAAATATAGTGTTAATTTCCTAGTTTCTCTGCTTTGTTGTGACTGAGCATACCCAGGTCTAAAGTGCGACTTTGTTGTCTTATGTATTAGACGTACACATTTGTCAATGGTGCACACACTTGAATATTTAAAACAAATCAATGAAGTCAAGTACGTCACTGTATGGAGTAAGTATTTATATGTTACATTATACACAATTTTTTTTATTTTGTGTCTCATTGCTATCTTTTGTAAACTGGAGTTAGAAACTGCGATTTTGCGAGTCCTTCACGAGGAAGCAGTTGCATACTGGATTGTGTAACTAACAGAATCGTAGAATGGTAATGCTTGTTTTTCTCTAAATGGTCTTCAAACAAAAGTTTGCTGTCGCTTAATGCCTGCAACATCTGGAAAAAAATAATTGACTGAAAAAATATTGGTTCCTAATTACATCTTTGAATTCAGTGTATTGTCAGTTTGACGAAGTAGCTAACCAGTCTATTGGGGGTTTGGATTGATTCAACTCTCAACGCTAAGCCAAACTGGGCAGACACGCTGATGAGCTCAACTCCAAACCAGTGCGACAAATATCGGATGTTCAGGTAACCTGAATCTGCCTAGTAAGTACTACTGTTCAATGTGAACGGTATTCAGCTACTCAAATCAATAAGTCAGTGGTATGTACAATTTTTTTACCCTCATTTTTAAATTCTCATGATTTCATGGTATAACTATTCTTACCCCAGTTACTGTTACACTAAATTCCCGGAAAATTGACAAAGTTGTTAGAGAAACTTTAAGGTACAGAAACATGTCAAAAATAAACTTGTTCTTCACTGGAACTGGAGATCCCAAATAACGCAGGGCTGGTGAAAGCCTTTGGGAAACCAGTCAGCGGATGTGTCTTCTGTCAATGAGAGCACGAATAAGCATGAGGACATAGAACGCCCAAACAATATTCACAGTTAAGAAAGCCACTCAGATTGTCAAAGAAATGAGAAGATTTGATATAGAAGTTTTCGGAATCTGTCAGAGCAGTTGGAATGGTAGGGGACTCTCTCTCTCTCTCCTCCGGTCATCCAAAGAACAACCACAAGCATACTAAGAAACTGGCAAATATTATGTCATGAACAGCATCAAAATCTCTTATGTATCGGGATCCGGTCTCCTCTGGAATAATGATAGCACTGAGGTCAAGTCACTCAGTGCTTCTATATGGTTCAGACAATTGGCGTATCACCAACATCTACCGCGTTCTTTGCATACTGAAAATCAGATGGCGAGTTGAATGGGATAACCAAAAAGAGCTTTGTCAACGAAGCAACGAGAAATCTTTTATCCAAGAAATACGCAGGACAAAACAGAGATGGACCGGACATAGGGTGAGAAGACCATTGATTGACATCATGTCCTAAGCCTTTGAATTCCGCTCGGGTGCAAAAAGACGAGTTGTATCTGAGTGCAAATGTGACATGGAGGAGATCGTGTGATCAGGAGATGAGAGCTTATGGGCAATCCTGGAGCAAGCTAAAATAGGATTGCGGAGAAGAAGAATAAATTGAGATGTGCCGTTGAAGCTGTATGTTCTACTTGGAACCTAAAGGTGTGATAATAAATTACTGCTCATTTGACATTTTTGTACTGATCACCTACTGTCAATAAACTTGTTACCACATGAATATTTAACTATATTTAATCATCAAGTAGACACAGCACATTGAAATCAGTGGCTAAATGTTATTTCAACTAACAGGTAAGTTAAAAGTGACGAAAGAAGAATACATCATAAGGCATACAACCAATAAATATAAAAATACACCTATGAATATATATGTATATCAAAATGGAAGGCGCAGTTGTCACAAAACATCGCAATTCTCTCACCTGTTCAATTTAATATTATTGATTCTGTTGTGGTGGTAACGGTGGCATAGTTGGATTACGCGGAGTTATGGGTCTTCCACCTACTACAGGAATATTATAAACTGGAGGAGGTGTACCTACTGGTGGTGCAGTTGTATTAAGTGAAGCAATTTCATAGGTGGGATAAGTTTTACTTGAATCCGGTACAATTCCAACATTCTGTTTTGGCTTAGCCATATCATCAATTTTATACTTTGAATGGTTCACAGCATTACCTGATGGCTCTGTTAAGAAACACAAAATAAATCGATCAAAAAGTAATATTTATGTATAATGCAGATATAGATATATACCATACTAAATTTATGGTTCATTGATAGGATGCTTGCCAACCACGTCACACGTGGTCTGGCGTTCGATTCCCGGCCTAAGCATCGCTAACACGTGAGTCTCCGTAGTAGTAAGTTTGGTAAGACGAGAATGCAAGGTGTGAAGCTAACAACCCCAATGTGCGAAAAAACTCAAGCTTGAAGCCGTATGTCTCTCTGAAAGCAAAGGAATACAAAAAACGCATACTACAGTTTGAAACAAATGGTTTTTGAAAGGAAGTAACTTGTTCTGTCCATTTCTGTTTATCTAAAAAGTCATACAATTTTTGTGTATCAATTATCAAGGTAAATATTATAACCATCGACGATAATCTCCAGAATGAGAGTGTAGTATTCGTCCTGCAGTAATCAAATTACCATCATTCATTCAGAAGTGTGAATCCACAAGATGCCATTAGCCTCAAGTTCTCTGATGCCAGTACTGTCAATGTACTTAAAATTCGATTTGCCCTTTGTTTTGAGATCAACCACAGGTAGTCCGACCAACCAAGTAAACATATTCTTCTGATCTGAATCAGAGTATTATCAGAGGGCAATTATGATGATGGTATCAATGATGACACGCAGTGTCAAACATAATCATTTATTCATATGTTGGTTTGTAGGGATTTGATTGGTTACAGGATTTCATCATGAGCTGACATCAGTTAGAGAACCATCAGAAAACCTGGGAGTACTGGACAGATGTTTCATCCTAGTTTGGGACTCTTCAGCAATACGCACCCACCGGGGTTCGAACCCAGGACCTTCCGGTTACAAGGCGAGCTCGTAGACCATTAAGCCACTGAGACCCGATCCAATGGCCGGCCCATGAATTCTAACTTCTGTCAATTCACAACATAGCGCACTTGCTAGCCAATGTCTTTGGCGAGTAATTGTCCTCACACCCAACCAGCTGCACCCTACTGATCACGACTTCTCAAAAGAAGCCCAGGTAACTAACTACCTACCCGAATAGGGTGAGTCGCGATACAGTAGATAATAACCTGGATAACTGAAATGATACTGAAACTTATTCAATAGATATGTCTTTTAGTTATTTGCTGATATTGGAACCCAGGACATTAAGAAATGGTTGCGCTATATCGTGAATTGGCAGAAGTTAGAATTCAAGAACCATTGAATAAGGTCCCAATGACTCAATGGTCTACGAGTTCGCTTTGTAATCAGAAGGTCCTGGGTTCAAATCCCGGTTAGTGCATACTGTTGAAGAGTCCCAAACTGAGATGAAACAGCTGTCCAGTACTTCCAGGTTCTCCAATGGTTCTCTAATTGATGTCAGCTCATGATGAGATACAAACTATTTGGATTGAAGAAATAATATTCTGAGCCTATTTTCATTTTAAAATGTAAACTGATATCCTCACATTTCGACTAAGTAGCATTCGCTTTTTCCTTCCTTTGATTTCTGAGTGGAATATAAGACTTCAGACTTTAAGCTGTGGAGTTCGAAGAGCGCCTGTTTTTTTATGGAGTAAGCTTGTCGGCCTCACGCCCAACCTTCTTCCTTTTTTAGGTTTACAACCGGCTAGGTAGAGTTTGAAAGTGTGTTGACCAGGAATCGAACCATGTGTGATGTGTAAAATGAAATAATAATAATAATCAAAAAACTGAGAAAACTGATTCGAATAGCTCTTAATACTGATAAGATGCAACTCACATTTCACACACGATCCGCTGTGACTTCTTAATTAAAAGATGAAGTAAGTGGGTTAGTCGCTTGATCTTGTACCTATCAACTCAACTACCCCTGTGGAGCAAGTTATATTAAGTGTTGCCCCAAACAACCTAGTTTTTCATGCTCCATATATATTTGGCCATCTGGTGTATATACACTATAAATCCTCTCATCTATCGAGTACCGAATGAATTGCCAAAGAACTCTGGGTTCCAAATCATTTGAACAGCAAGGGCCATTGCAATCCGCTTGAAACAACGTGAACTATGTGCAAAACAGAGACAAGTCCAGTTACTATTTCAACTGTGGCCCTCTGTGAAACATGTAAATTCGTAATTTCTCTATTATTTTTTCTTAATTTGCTTGATACGCGTTTCGGTCTTATATTTATGCCTATAGCATGCCCATAGCATGCGCATATTTTGACCTTCAGTGAATGTTATTTCAAAAACAACAGTGTTGACGATAACAACAATAATTCTTTAGCTAATACACATATAACTGCAGGACTTGATGAAGTCTAATCTTTCTTATGTTTCCTAATACTTCATGTGGTTCTGATGTAATAATAATAATAATTTTTCCTTCACGTTCCCCAGTGGAACATAGGGCTCCAAAACAGTGGCTTGAAGTTTCTGTAGGAGTGTTTATTTTTATAGGATAGGGTTGCTAGCCTCATGCCCAACCTTTCCTCTTTACCATCATTATCTCTGGCTCAGCGAGGTAAAGGAGTGCGTCGGCCGGGAATCGAACCCCGGACCATGTGCATGGTCGGCGAGCGTCCTAACCGCTATACCACCGACGCTGGTGGCTCTGGAGGGGAGGGTTCTGATGTAAACTGATGTACACAAACAGTTTGAAACCAGATATCCGCCATTATTTGAATAATTCAGACTTACGGGTTTGTTTATTTCGTCGTTTTCTTCGAAAGTGATAGACGAGTAAGACCACGACAACTACGATTGACAATGTAATCAAAACAACAGCTATTGGGATTGCGAATTCTTTTCTGAATTTAGGATCACTATAAAACAGTAAGAGAAACGAGAAAAAATATGTATGTTTAAATATTTCTTAAACAACAGAATCCAGGTGGAGGAAGAATGCAAAGGGGGTAAAGTTAAGTGAGAGAAACAAAGAAAAATAGGCACTTTTGAACGGATGAGACTCTGATAACAGGTGGGTAAAATACAACATAAAGTACACACTTTCCCCATCTTTTTTATTCACTTTGTGAAAACATTTTTTTAACCTATTTTTCCATGATTTCTCCATGTTTTCAGTAGATCGATTATTCACATTTTTGAATTTCCCTCACGTTTTTGAAAAGAACTAGCCACTACTCCTAATGTGTCGTATGCCACCTACATTTTTTCCAGAAATATCCCACTCTTTCCCACTTTGCTCAGTTTTGAATGAAACGCTTTGTTTTTACCCAGTTTACTAATGTTCACAAAAAATTCTGTTTTTTTTCTGTGTGAAACTATAGTTTCGAAACTTATCACTGTCAGCTGTATATACAAAAATAAGGTCTGACTCATTCAAATGTTATACGACAATGCTGCATACCAAGTAATCCACAACGGAAAACTTACGGAAGCCTTCGAAGTGAGGACAGGAGTGAGGCAAGGCTGTCTACTATCGCTAATGATCTTCCTGATTGCAGTAGACTGGATAATGCGACAGAAAACAGGCAATCAGGAAACAGGCATAAAATGGACTCACACAAAAAAAGAAATTGGAGGATCTGGACTTCGCCAATAATGATATATGTCTGATTTCCCACAAACTGGAATATATGCAAGTGAAAAGCAACAAGCTGGCGATAGAAGAAGCCTCAAAGATAGGAACTCACTTCAGGTGAACAAAGATAAAACAGAGGTAGGTGATGAAGATTCCTGGCCAACAACAACAGACAACAATCAGCCAGCATAAATGGGAGGAACCTGAAAGAAACAACCTCCTTCACCTACCTACCTATCTGAGAAGCGTCGTTTCAAATACAGGCGAATGAAAATGACGAGGATATCAAAGCTAGAATCAGAAAAGCAAGACAAGCTTTCATCACTCTCAAATCTGTGTGGAGGTCAACATCACTCAGCATCAAAAATAACATCCGGATTTTCAACTCCAATGTGAAGTCAGTCAGTACTACTATACGGATCAGACACTTGGCCAGCGAGTCATAAAGAGCATCTCAAACAAATTACAGACCTTCATTAACAGCTGTCTTCGCTCAATACTCAAGATCAGATGGTTGGCCAGAAGAGATCAGCAACAGGGAGGGATCTCTGGCAATGAGCGAACAAACACAGCAGGAACCGATTGTGAAACAAATAGGCAGGAAGAAATGGAGATGGATTGGCAGGCCATACGCTGAGAAAACAATCCATCAAGTGACATCACTAGACAAGCCATTGCTCGAGTGGAACCCGAAAGGGAAGCGGGCGGCGAGTTGGTGGTCACTGCGAGGTTGACTTGGAGGAGGTCATATGAAGAGGAGATGAAAGCATGTTGGCAGACTTGTAGCGAGGTGAAAACGTTGGCAGAAAACGGAAGGCAATGGAGACGTGGGCAGCTGAAGCCCTATGTTCCTCTAGGAATTAAAGGATATAATAATAATAAATAAAATCCGTTGAAGGTGAATGTTGAATGTCTTTGTCTAATCCTTCACTTAATAAGTTTTTCTGTCTAAGTTTATCGTTTTCAGAAACTCCTCTGTTTCATGATGTTATTAATTAACCATTTTTTAACATTCGCTATTTGTAAACGTTTATAATTGTTCTTATGATGACTAAAATCTATGAGCAGCCTTAAAAACTGTTTCCGTCTATCTGTTTTACTTTGTTCTACTAATTAGAGCTGACACCTGGAAACTAATAGAAGAGAGGAGAATGGTGAAAGAGAAAATGATTCAATGCAAGGACGGACAAGAGCAGGAGACGTTGAGTTCAACTTACACAGCACTGGACAAAGAAGTGAAGAAGAGTGCTAGGAAGGACAAAAGACGATTCTACGACAAACTAGCCACTGAAGCTGAGAAGGCAGCAGGCAGAAATGATCTGAGGACATTATATCAGATAGCCAAATCTATATCCGGGAAGAAATCAACACAAGTGAAACCAATAAAAGACAGCCAAGGGAACCCGATTACCACGGAAGAAAGACAGATTAAACAATGGGCGGACCACTTCAAAAGACTCCTGAACCGACCACCACCTGCAACCGACCAGCGTCCAGAAATACCAACAACAGCACGTACACAACTGCAAGTTTACATCAATCCTCCAACGAAAGCTGAAGTCTTGAATACAATCAAACTTCTGAAAGCTGGAAAAACAGCCGGACAAGATGGAATACCCCCTGAAGCACTGAAAGCGGACCCAGAGACGACAGCAGATATGCTGACTGACTCCAATTTTGCAAAAGGTCTAGAAGGAGGGAAAGGTGCCTACTGACTGTAGGAAAGGTTACCGCGTGAAACTACCAAAGAAGGGAGACTTACGCCTCACTCTGCAAGAACTGGCGAGGAATCACGCTCCTGTCGACGCCAAGTAAAATCCTGAGTCGTATCATCCTGGAGAGATTAAAGGACGCACTGGAGACAGAACGCCGACCAGAACAAGCTGGATTCAGGAAAGGCAAATCATGTTCTGACCAAATTGCAACTCTACACATCATCATCAACACAGAACAAAGCATGGAATGGCAATCAAACCTCTACCTCAACTTTATAGACTTTGAGGAGGCCTTCGACAGCGTAGTGTTGACCATGAAGTAATTTGAAACTACTCGAGTACTACAGCGTACGGTGCCCCAAATATTCATCAACCTTATTCAACAACAGCTAGCTGTACGACAACGGCACATGTCAAGTCCATGTCCACAACGGAAAACTCAGCGAGGCGTTTGGAGTGAACACAGGAGTCAGACAAGGTTGCTGGCTTATTATCACCAGTGAATGATATTCCTAATTGTGGTGGACTGACTGGATTATGCGTCAGACAGCGAGTGGGAAGCGAGAAGACAGGGAGGGATATCCTGGACTGACAGACGTGAAGAACCTAGAAGACCTGGATTTGACGCGGCGATGATTAGTTATGTTTGATCTCACACACAATCGAAGACTTACAAGCGAAAACCGAGTGACAAACTGGTCGAAGAAGCAGCCAGCGAAGACAGGACCCCAGGTGAACATAGACAAGACGGAGGTTATGAAAATAACCAACCAGCCAACAACAACAGCGACAGCGACATCCGGCGCTAATCACCATCAACGGGAGGGATTTGGAAGAGGTTACTTCATTCACTCACTGATCTAGGCAGCATTGTCTCAACTACAGGAGGGGGGACGGACGACGTTGTCAAGTCGAGCGAGAATAGGGAGGGCGAGAAACACATTCATCAACCTGAAATCAACCTGGAAATCTTCGTCACTCAACATCAACAACAAAATTTGGTCGGATTTTCAATACAAACAGCGTCAAGTCAGTCAATTCTTCTATACGGATCAGAGACTTGGCGGGTGGGTTACAATGAATATTTCCAACAGCCTGTTGCAGACCTTTATTAACAACTGTCAACTATCGCTCTATACTGAAGATCAGATGGCCGGGTCGGATAGAATCATAAACAAGGAACTATGGCTGGGAACAAACAAAACTTGAACCAATCGCCAACCAACAAATATGCCGGAGAATGTGGAGATGGATTTGGACATTAGCTCTGGAGACCGCTGGGTGACATCGCGCTTCAGGCCATTGCTCAAGTGGAACCCGAAAGGGGAGAGGCGAGTGTCCCACTCCCTCCAAGGTTGACATGGAGGAGACTGTGTGAAGGGGAGTTGGAAGAGTATGGACTAACATGGATGCAGGTGAAAAGTACAGCAGAAGACAGAAGGAAGTGGAGACGTGCAGTTTAAGCCCTATGTTCCACTAGGAACCCAAGGGAGAAATAATAATAGTGTTGATCTAGGTGATTATATTCTCTCCTTACTTTAGTTTATATATGAGTTTCTATGAATTTCACTAGTTGCTAATGCATACTTTTTTCTCTTATTATTATTCACTCGGGCTATGTAGAACATAGGGATTCACACAGCACATCCCTATTTCTTTTTATAATTATAGCTCGATTTCATACAGTATTTTGGTACAAGTATGGAATTTTCGGCATGTGATATCAGTAGCCTAAATTTAGCAGACCGACCATTGATATCAGGTGTGTGTCTGTCGGGAATTGAACTCCGGATCATGTGCATGGTCGGCGAGCATTCTACCACTGTGCCACTGACGCATCCCGTTCTATGCAGGCCTCTTTAGCTGGCTGCGAAATTCCTCATAAGCCTTCATCTCCTCCTTACACGATCTTTTCCATGCCAACCTTAAACCAAAATCCAGCTCACCGTTTCCCAATTGGGGTTACACTCGAGGCTTTACCTGCCATTTGATGTCACTCAGTGCTCTCCTCAGCGTGTTTCCAGTCCATCTCCACTTCCTTCGGTTATCTGTTGGCCAGTAGTTTATTGCTTAGTCTGTTGTTTGCCAGAGTTTTTGCTATTTATCCTTCACATCTGGCTGTGTAATGTTCACTGTCAAGACGGTAAAAGCAGCCATCGATAAAAGTCTATAGCAGGCTGTCGGAAATGTTTTTGGTGAAGTAAGCATTAATTCTCTGGAGCATGTAGAAAGAAGTACTGAATGACTTAACATAATTCGGATCTCGTTCCTTATGCTGAGTGCAACGGATTTCCAGACTGATTTCAGAGTAATGAAGTTCTGACTTGCTTTTCTCACTCTGATTGCTTTTATCACCCTCATTTTTGACGAATACTTTCTTCCTAGTTTGGGACTCTTCAGCAGTACGCACCCACAGGGGTTCAAACCCAGGACCTTCTGGTTACAAGGCGAGCTCGTAGACCATTGAGCCACTGGGACCCGATCCAATGGTCCTTGAATTCTAACTTCTACCAATTCACGATATAGCTCATGATGAAATCCTCCATGCAATCAAACAAAATCCCTA